AAAGATAAGTCAAAAAGGTAAGCACTATCTTAGCTCCTCAACCAATTTTGGTCATTTCTTCAAATTTTTCTAAAAAAGCCCATAAGAATATAGTTATACTATCTCTTCCCTAAAACTGCTATCTTCTAACATATTCAAGAATTTTGGTATTTTCTTTCATACAAAGCTTCTCTAAATGCCACTAGTTCTACTAGTACCTTGGATGTGTTCTAGTCAGTTTTGTGGCCTTTCCCATTCCATGTACTAACTTTTATGACCCTTTATTACAATGGGATCCCAACCATCAATAGTTATTTACTGATAATAATCCATACTTTTAACTCTCATTTGTGGGAAACACAGGCAGCAAAGATGGCGCTGAGAGGGAGTTGAGTGGGCAGAGCCCAATTCACCTTACATTCAGTGCATAACCAGCCCATAAAAGCTTAGGTGCATGATAGGGTGTGACCTTGACAGTGATTGGTTCCTCTTCCTTCCTTGCTATGCCACCCGTCCTTTTTGGCTTTAAAAAGGGTTGCTCTCTGTTAATAAATGAATTTTCTACCTGCTTGATTTGGCTCCCCGCTGTGTCTGATTGTCTCCCGGGCTGAGGGAGGCTGGGGAAATGGGCGAGCGCTGTGCTGCACTTACCTTTCCTCAGACACCTTTCCTTGGACTCCCACCCTCCAACACTCATTCTCCTTCTAATCTGTTCTCTCACCTAATAAAGACCTCAATCACCATATTTTTGTTTTAGTTTATTAGACTCCTCTTATGAATAGCATATTTCTTTCTAATTTCAGTTCATACCTCAAAGTTTGCAATTTTGATCACTTTGTGTGTACTTTCTGGCCAGTTTACTACTAGTCTTTTACTCTCAATCTGACAATCTCCTATTTTTTTTTTGCAGTCGTGGGGCTTGAACTCTGGGCTTGGGTGCTGTCCCTCAGCTTTTCAGATCAAGGCGAGCACTCTACCAACTGAGCCACAGTGTCACTTTCAGTTTTCTGAGTGGTTTATTGCAGATAAGAGTGTCATGGACTTTCTGCCAGGGGTTGGCTTTGAAGGAGATCCTCAGATCTCAGCCTCCTTGAGTAGCTAGGCACCTGGCTACAATCTCCTAATTTTGTATTTGGTTAACCATTTCTATACCAAGAAATAATCAACAAATACATAGATTGATACAACCAAGAATTCATGGCAAATGCTAACTGTAGTATTTTTCTCCTCTTATTTCTTACACAAATTGATTTTAATTTTTTACTACCACTCTCAGAATATCCTACACACCATTTTACCTAGATAATATTACTTTATACTTCACAGAAAAAAACTAGGCTCTTGCATGATAACCCACTGAATTTTCTACCACCACTTCTCCAATGTACAAGTTTATCTTCATTTTAGTTTTTTTTTTGTTTGTTTGTTACTTCTCTTGTTCCTTCTAGTCATGAGAAAGTTAAGGATTTGTCTCCTTGTTTATAGTCAGTTCTTTTACCTATACTGGTAAAGGACAGTTAGCTGACCTTTCCTTCCTATTATTTGCCTTTGCTTTTAACCTTCAATGAACAACGGGGCAATAGGGATGTACCATTAAACAAGACAAGGCTTCAATCTCATGGGTCCTTACTTTCTTATCAGGAGACAAATAAGTAAATAAAACAAAACAAACCTTATATAATGTCAAAGTAATATATCCTCTAAGGAAAAACAAATAACCAAGGAGGGTTGGAAGAATGTAGTAGAGGCTACTCTTACATTCAGGATGTTCAGAAAGGGCTTCTTTGAAAAGGTGGGATGAGAGGAGAGACTCAAATTAAGTAAGAGAAGAAACCATGAAAATAGCCATAGGAAAACAACTACTTCAGCCAAATGAAATACCACAAGCCAAGTTCCCAGAAGCAAAAGATTCTTCCACTATAGTTAAGGGGTTAAATTGGCAGTTGTTTCCCCTTTACCAGTGAGAGTAGAATTTAAAAGGAGTTCTTATTTCTGCTTTAAAACATGTCAATATTCTCCTTCCCAAATTCTAGGTTTCTAAACTCTTATAGAACATAAAATTGTCAGTCTTTTCCTTCCTTCCTTCTCCCTCCCTTTCCCTCTCCCTCTTCAACACTGGCTTCAAATCTGTTATCTCCTATCCATCCCTGCTTCCTAAGTAGATGGGATTACAGGCATGGTAGAACATGCCTGGCCAAAGTTTCCTAATGAATCTAATCACAAAATAGAAAGGACAAAGTTGGGACTGTTTTGTTTTACAAAAACAATTATGCCTTAAAGCTGAACTAGGAAAAGAAATTCAAATTCCATCCTATATTTCCTTTTCTCCTCCTTTTCCTTCTCTTCCTCCTCTTCTCCCTTCCCTACCTCCTCCTTCTGCTTCTCTTTTTTTTTTCTTTTTTAAAGTGCCATCCCTGAGGCTTATACAGTCCGGGACCTGGACTCTGTCCCTGAGCATTTGGGCTCAAAGTTAGCATTCTACCACCTGACCCACAGGTTCACTTCTGGTTCTTTTGGTGATTAGAGATTAGAATCTCATGGACTTTCCTGCTTTCGAATCTCAATCTGAAGACTCATGAGCAGCTAGGATTACAGATGTGAGCCACCAGTGCCCAGCTCATTTCAATAATTTATTTGTATTTGTTTGTGTGTGTGTATGTGTGTGACTGAGAGCGTGCACATGCACCAAACCTACTGGTCTTTAGACTTGAACTCAGGGCCTGGTCTCTGTCTCAGAGCTCCTTTTTGCTCAAGGCTACTGCTTTACCACTTGAGCCACTGTGCCACTTCTGGCTTTTTCTGAGTAGTTTATTGGAGATAAAAGTTTCACAGACTTTCCTCCCTTTCCTCCAGCCTGGGCTAGCTTCAAATGGCAGTCTTCAGATCTCAGTCTCCTGAGTAGCTACGATTACAGGTGTGAGCCACCAGTACAGGGCTTTTTAAGTTGAAAGCCCATTATAACAGGTCCCTCTACGTCCCCTCCTATTCACTCAAGGGAACTCTCTCAAATTACTTATATAATAGAGCACTGTTCTGTAAACCAAGTGGAGAATCACACTAATGATGGTTTCTGAGAAATGCGAGCGGGAAAATACAAATAAGAGCATTTAATAGTAGATACAGCAACTAGAAAGGAGAAAGGGAATTATGCAGTTGTTATACTGTATTTAAGGCAAAAAACTCCTAAAAACTGTATGACAAGCATATTTCCTATGACTTCTAACTTTTTTTTGGGGGGGGGGTCTAGTCGTGGGGCCTGAACTCTGGGACTGGGCACTGTCCCTCAGCTCTTTAGCTCAAGGCTAGCGCTCTACCACTTGAGCCACAATGCCACTTCCAGTTTCTTTTTGCTTATGTGGTGCTGAGGAATCGAACCCAGGGCCTCATGCATGCAAGGCAAGCGCTCTACCACTGAGCCACCTTCCCAGCCCGACTTCAAACTTTTATGAGATAGTAAAAGCTCTTTTTAAAATATTGGGTAAATGTAAGATCCTCTATTTTCAACTGCCAGTGCAAGAATAATTTAAGATGGTTGGGGTTGGTCTTGGCTTTTATTTCTAGAAAGCAAAGATTGGTCCTTGGATGGCAGCTAGAAACTTGGCTTTTGAAAACATTGCCTAAATGATAAGGTTACGACTACCATGTCAATCTACTCTGACTGTATAATGAGACTATGGTAGACTACTATTTTCCAATTCCATCTGAAATTTTGGTTGACATCAAGTACCTATGCAACCATCCTGAACTTGAAAAAACCCTGAACTCTAAATCTCAACTGGAGTTCCTTATGCTCTGCATACTGTAACAGAATCTGTGAAACTACAGGCAGAGTATAAGAAAGCTGAATATGGACTCCTGACACTTCATGATGTTTTTCTTTGTGAATGATCTGGTTATGTTACCATGTCACTATAATAAACCTAAGTGATAAATCTGACTATATGCTGAGTCCTGTAAGTTCTAGAGAATTCCAAAATTGTGGGTAGAACTGTGGAACCTCTGAAACACTACTAAGTAATGATATTAAACAAAGACAGACTCTCACCATTATTTCACAAAAGTGTATGTTGATAAAATTCTAATCTATAATAATAAGTAAAAATGGAATATAACATCAGAATAGAGGCCAGAATTTTAAACGGAATAAATTTAGCATTACAGGAAGTTCATTGTGTTATTCTTACTTTTCTCATTTTGCTGAAGATCTGTGAAATCCTCATCATGTACCAGTAGAGAAATGTGTATTGGAACTATAAGTTGGATTTTTTTTTTGTCCCACAAATTACTTGCTTTTTGGCACTGAAAGTACTAAGCACAAATGACGTATGTACAGGCATATTTTTTAAAAAATTGAGTAAGTCACCGAAGACCTTATTGAAATAGTCTATTTTAACTGTAAAAAAAAGAACGAAAAAGAAAAGGAAGAACAGCTGGGTACTAATGGTTCACAACTATAATTCTAGCTATTCAGCAGAAAAGATGGAGGTTCAAAGCCAGCTCCAGCAGAAAATTCAGCAAGACTCCATTTCCAATTAAAAAACGGGTAGCTGCAAGGGTGGTTGAAATGGTTGAACACTAGTAGCGAGCAAGTGAGATAAGTGAGTCCAAGGCCTTCAGTTCAAGTCCCAAACAATAACAAAAAAATAAAGAAAAAAATTACATATGGAAAACAATGCTCTTTTCCTTTCCAAACACAGTTACTATTAAATGAATCCATCAAATCAACTCTTCCCACAGGGTGCAGAATGTTTTTTAAAGACACACACACACACACACACACACACACAAACTTCAATTTTATCCATATATATATATGTATATATATATATATTCCTGTGTTTCAGTAATTATAGTTCCTCAATTTCCAATGATATAACATGTTCAGTTGAAAAATGTTCTCAAATTCCCTTTACTATAATAAATGACAATTTTCAAGGAATGGATGTTGAGATACATTCTCAGTCTTCTAAGAGGGTTTCAGAACTGCTATGGCAGCAGAATCCCATAGAGGAAGCACACACCTTTTGCTGTAGTTCTTTTACTGCAGAATCTCTATCCATGCATGCCTGTCGGAAGGCCTCATACGCTTTATTGAGTTGCTCACCAATGTTTTTATCCATTCCTCTTTTTCCTGTACCATCACTATAAAGGACAGAGCAAATGGCAGGTCTGAAAAATAATAAAAATAATTCAGTTACTCAGTTATACAAATCTCATTTAAAAAAATGCATTGTAAGACAGTCCTATAAGGCCTGACATAGCACCAAGTACTACAAAGGGTTATGAAGGCATTTTTAATCTAAAATCCTGGCTAGATATTAAAATGCTTTCTATAATTTTTAAATATTCATTATTAATATTCTAGTTAATAAAGGGGAGTTCTAGTTATCTGAATTAGGAAGGGAAGGGAAACAACAAAATGGCAAGACAAAGGACAAACGGGAAATTGCAATAGTGATACTCACAAGATAATAGGTTGGAAATGATCTGTACAACTGGGAAGGGGCTTGGGGGTGAAGTGGGAAAAAATGAGGGAGGAGGCAACAAGTTTGTCAAAAAATACTACCTTACTTACATAACTGTAACCCCTCTGTACATTATCTTGACAATAAAATTTAAAAAAATACATTTCAATTGAAAGTATATATTAAAAATGCTACTTTGGGGATTAGCAACCTATAAATTTAACCACAAAATAGAAACTACAAAAGCATTTTATTATTCATGTTTTATTATAAAAGTGTACAGCATGACTATAAAAGTATACAGCAATGTGGGAAGGGATTTCTTTTTACTAAATGGACAGTTACTCCCACTTACAAGGTGAATTCTTGCTACACTGAAATTAGAGCAAAATTAAATAGATAATAAATGTTTGTGGATGGAGTTCACACTGTTGTTATCATAGAGCAATTAAAATGTGTGAAAATACTCTTATTTTAGCACAAAATCTAGGGAGAGCTGCTGTTGGATTGTATAATAAAAAAAGCAAAATCACATCCGTTTAGTTCTACCCCCCACTACCTATTAGTTTTCCAACTTCCCTGCTGTTTCTAAACTACAGATGATTTTCTCAGAGGAGGTAATTTAGTTTTATCTCAGCTTTCATAACATCTCTAACTACATTCTTTGGCTCTGAGCAGAGAGCTTCCTAATGACTCTGATTCTGTCTGTCCAACTGAAAAAATCATAAAATTTTTTTTTTCACTACTCTAAAAAACACACAGAACAGACAAAGTCATCTATTAATTAAGGAGATGACAAAGTTTTGAGAAAATCCTTTATAATCTGTCTTTAATGTCAGAATCTTTCATTTTATCTTTGCACACAAAAATGCTGTGTAAAAATATTTTCAAATGAGAAATGTAAAGATTGAGACATATAAACTATGTATAAATATAAAAATGCATCAAGTTGTATTTTATTTATAACTCATAGAAAAATAAAAAGTATTTCAAATATATTCTTCAGCATCCTAATGTTTACTGTAATATGCAACTACCACTAATTTCAAAATTTTTATCACCTCAAACACAAAGTCTGAACCTATTAAAAGTTAGTACTAATTCCCCTCTTCAACCATCTGTTAGCAACCACTAATCTGTTACTGTCAGTATGGGTTTGCCTCTCTTTGACATTTCATATAAATGGAATCATTTGACATTTCATATAAATGGAATTATACAATATATGACTTCTATGTCTGGCTTCTTTCACACAAGATAAAATTTCTGAGGTTCATCCATATTGCAATATACCTTTATATGGTTGAATAATTTTCCATTGTATGGATATACAACATGGTGTATTCATTCCTGGACATTTGGGTTATATCTACTTTTTGACTATTTTGAATAAAGCTACTATGAAAATTTGTGTATATGTACTTGTACAAGCATATGTTTTCAATTCTCTTATATATGTCTAGGAGTGGGAACTGATGGGTCAGATGGTAATTCTTTTTTTTCTCTTTTTTTTTTTTTTGTCGGTCATGGGGCCTGAATTCTGGGCCTGGGCGCTGTCCCTCAGCAATTCAGCTCAAGGCGAGTGCTCTACCACTTGAGCCACACTGCCACTTCTGGTTTTTTCTGTTTATGTTGTGCTGAGGAATCAAAGCCAGGGCCCCATGCATACAAGGCAAATACTCACCACTGAGCCACCCCTTCCCAGACCTAAGATGGTCATTCTGTTTAACTTTTTGAGGGACCGTCAACTATTTCCCTAGTAGCTGTACCATTTTACATTTCCACCAGCAACATAAAACATTTCCAATTTCTTTACATCCTCACCCACCTTCTTACAGTCCATTTAAAAAATCATAGCTATTCTAGTGAGTGTGAAGTAATACCAAATTGTGGTTTGGATTTGCATTTTCCTAATGACTAATGATGTCCAACATCCATGTACTTGTTGGTCATTTATCTTTGGAGAAATTTCTATTCAAATCCTTTTTTCTCTTTCTTTTATAAGCCTTGCTTTTTGTCTATAGGATAGTAGAAGACAGAGGAGCAGCCAACACACAAAAGTAATTTGTTCTTGTCCAAAGACCATGGTGATTTTATAGCATTCTGAGAATTTTACATACATTATTGAGGAATTGGGGCTCTGGATTTAGGGCTTCTTCTTTCTTTTTTTCTTCTATTCTTCTGAAGAATAATAAATGAGCTATGAAAGGCTTATTGTCATGGGAAAGTTGTCATTGCAGGTCAAAGCTCTTTGCATCCTTTTAATAGCAACCACTCATAAAACTTTTTAATTTTCATGAATTACAATTTACCTATAGTTTTTCCTTAAGCTTCTTATACTTCCTTTTAATGCCATTTCTAAGAATCTAGTGCTTAATCCAAGGTCATGAAGATTTATCACCTACATTTCCTTTTAAAAGTTTTATTTGTGAATAAGAGGTATGATTTAGATTCATTTTGTGAATATGTGAAGCTATTTAGGTTTCTTGGCACTGTATATTGAAAGACTTTTTGTTTTCTCATTGAGTTGCCTTGGTAATGTTGCCAACAACTGACCATAAACAACAATGTCTTTTTTTGTTTGGTTTGATTATGCTGGGAACTGAACACAGGTTCCCTGTACATATTAAACACATGGTTCTACCACAAACTTAGATCCCTGGTCTCCCATAAGAGTCCTGTAAACACACAGGTACAAGTAATATTTCAGTCTTAGCAGCTGAAATCTTTCATTTTACAATGCAAACTATATCCATAAATTCTTTTTTTTTCTTCTTTAGTTCCAAGACCAGGACTCGAACTTCATACCTGCTACTTTTGTTCATTGGCTAGTGCTCTACCAACTGAGCCATGCCTCCAACCCCTATCCATAATTCATTTGTCAGACTTAATAAAACAAAAATTCCAGGGTCTTTGTTTTATTCTGTTTTTGGTAGTACTGGGGTTTGAATCAGAGTTTTGTACTTGCTAGGTAGATGCTGTGCTTGAGTAACACCTCCCGCCTTTCTATTCTTGTTTTTGCTATTGCAAAAAACTTTTGTCCCTGGCTGTCCTAAACAGCAATCTTTTTACTTTTGTTTCCCACCACAGATGGGAGTATCAGGCATATGCCACCGGGTCCAACTACTGGCTGAAATGAGGTTTGGTGAATTTTCTGCTCAGACAGGCTTGAACTACAGTTCTCCTGATCTCTGCCTCCTAGTAGCTAAGATTGTAAGCATGGGTCACTGGCACCCAGCTAAATCCAGGGGTTATAGTCATTGCTTCCCGAAGCAATTTTTTTTTTGTTGTTGTTACAGGAATCACAGTGTCATTGCTTTCGGAACTGAAGGAATAGTAAGTCTTTAGTCATTTTGCCTAGGAAAATGATGAATCTTGTTAGGATAATTAACATTGCTGGGACTTTTGCCTAGTTGTAAGATACTATGGAAACACAAACAATTAGCATTAATACAAAGTGTCACATAGAATATTTTATTTAGATACATTTTCATTAAAAATATGACTATAAAAATACACACGAGACTAAAATACAAGGTGTATATATATATATATCTATATATATACTCCTTATAGTATGTGTATATATAGATATATATATCTCATAAGGACTATAGTATACTGACATATATGAATGCAGAAATTAGAGGTTTAAAGCCACTAAATTATCTGTCATCTTCAAAAGCTAAACATATAAAAGCAAATTGTCAGTGAAAACCATACCTGAGTTCATAATCTGAGATAAATGATAACCTTGAATTGGGGCTCTATCTAGCATCACACTTCCTTGTGTTATCGACTGAACCTTGTGTAAAAGCTACAAAATTTTTTGTGACACGTTTTTTTTTTCCTCTTCATTATAAAAATGGTGTTGGGACTTGATTTTTTGAGTCTGTGAGTTTAAAATATATGTCTGTTCCATCAGGAAGGTACATTATTATTTTAAACTTAAAAATGTGAATACAACAGTAAAAGTAGCTGCATCATATGCAAGAAAATTATGCGAAGCCTTCGTTTTAGGTCATTGAATTAGACCATACAAATGTCACTAAGTGGAGCTACTAAGTAAATTCCACATACAATTTCCTGAAATAAGAATGTATGCTGAGGCATTAAGTTTTGTTCAGTATAAATAAATACATAAACAATATATTTAATTCCTAGTTCACAATCAAGAGGTGAAATGGGTGTTAGCTTACTGACTCTGATCAGAGAAAAAGGCAAGTTTTTGAGATCTAGCTTATTTATTTGGACAGATTTAGAATATTAACGCTGAACTTTAAAGCCATGTGTTCATCTATTTTTCAAGGCATTTGTTAAGTGTAAAATTAATTTCACAATGGAGACAGTTACATTTCAATTAAATTTTGGTAGGCCTTCTGCAAAAGTTGCCAGGCTTCAGAAAAATGCTTTTCATTTATAGTAAACATGCTCAGATCCAAGTCCATTACCATTCATGATTGACTGATTGGCAGTAGTGGGGTTTGACCTCAGGGCTTTGTGCTTGGTAGGCAAGAGCTCTACCATTGAGCCACACTGCCATTCCTTTCTGCTTTATTTTTCAGACAATCTAGCACTTTTACCTAGGCTAGTGTCATGTTGCAATACTCCTACCTCTGCTTCCTGAATAGGTGTGATTACAGGCATGGGCTATAACACTATACTTCTTTTTTGGGATATGCCTTTGCTAACTCCCTCCCCCCC